TAATATCCTTCCTATAGCAGGGTGAAAACAACCGCACACAGACTCCAGAAGTGGCCTCACCAACATCCTGTACAACCTCAGGATGACGTCCCAACTCCTATACTCAACAGTCTGAGCAATGAAGCCACGTGTGCGAAACACCTTCTTAACCACCCAGTCTATCTGTGACGCAACTTTCAAACAACTATGTACCTGAACCCTTTATGTCTCTCTGTTCAACAACACTAACCAGGGCCTTACCATTAATTGTACAAGTCCTGCCCTTGTTCATTTTATCAAAATGCGATGCCTCACATTTACCCAATTTAAACTCCATCTCCCACTGCTCAGTCCATTGGCCCAAATAATTAAGACGAATTTGTAATCTTAGATAACCTTCCTCACTGTTGGCTTTACCACCAATTTTGGTGTTATCCACAAACGTACAAACCATTCCTCCTAATTTCTCATCCAAATTATTTATGTAAATGACAAACAGTGGACCCAGCACCCATCCCTATGGAACATCGCTGGTCACGGGGCTCCAGTCCAAAAAGCAACCCTCCACCACCACCCTCTGTCTCCTACCATCGAGCCAATTTTGTATCCAGTTGACAAGCTCTCTCTGAATCCCACGTGATCTACCTTTAATAAGCAGTCTACCATGTCGAACCTCATCAAAGGCTTTAGTAAAGTCCAGGTAGACAAAATCTACCATTCTGTCCTCATCAATCCTTTTGGTTATAACTTCAAAAAGCTTAATCAAGTTTGAGAGACAATTTCCCATACACGAAGCCATGCTGACTATATCTAATCAGTTCTTGCCTCCCCACATGTATGCAAGTCCTCTCTCTCACAATCCTCTCCGACAATTTACCCACCCAACGAGTCCAGCTCACAGGCCTTTTTGCCCTTAATGTACTTGTGGAATCTGTTTGGATTCTCTTTTATCTTATCTGCCAAAGTTTTCCCATGCCCCCTTTATGCCCTCCATATTTCCCTCTTAAGTGTACCCCTACATTCCCTTTACTCAAGAGGTTCATTTGATCCCAGCTGTCTATACCTGACATATGCCTCCTCCTTTTTCTTGACCAGAGCCTCAATATCTCTAGTCATCCCAGGTATCCTATTCGTGCCAACCCTTGCCCTTCTCACTAACAGGAACATGCTGTCCCTGAACTCTTACTATCTTGAGTTTGAAAGCCTCCCACTTGCCTGATGTCCCTCCACCTGCGAACAGAGTCCCCTGTCTAACACAATCAAAACTGGCCTTGCCCCAGATTAGAAATTTAAATTGTGGACCAGACCTAATCTTTTCCATAGCTATTTTAAAATTACAGTCACTGGTCCCAAAGTTCTCCCCCACTAGGACCTCAGTCATTTGCCCGGCCTTAGTTCCCGAGAGAAGGTCGAGTTTTGCCCCTTCTCGAGAAGGGCCATCTACATATAGATTGAGAAAGTTTTCCTGAACACACTTAAATTCCTCCCAGTCCAAGCCTTTAACACTACGGCAGATCCAGTCTATGTTTGGAAAGTTAAAATCCCTTACCATTACAACCCTAATTTCTTACAACTATCTACGATCTCCCTACGCATTTGCTGCTTGATTTCCTGCTGACTATTGGAGGGCCTATAGTACAGTCCCATCAATGTGATCATCCCCTTCTCATTTCTCAGTTCCACCCATATGACTTCACTGGACGATCCCTCAGGAATATCTTCTTTAAGTACTGCCGTGATGTTTTCCCTAATCAAAAATGCGACTTCCCCTCTTCTCTTGCCTCCCCTTCTATCCTTCCTGTAGAATCTGTACCCTGGAACAATGAGCTGCCAGTCCTGATATCCTATCCCATGTTACCATCCTTACCCTGAGTTCATCAGCCTTACCTGTCAGGCCTCTTGTGTTGAAATAAATGCAGTTTAATTCATCCGTCTTCCCTCATTCATTGATGTGCTCTTGCCTGCCTTGACTATTTAACTTGCTCTCTTTAACTTATGTACCAGCCTCAACCTTCTCTCGTCTCATTACTGCTTAGGGTTCCAAACCATTGCCAGGTTAGTTTAAACCCTCCTGAGTAGGTCTAGCAAATATCCCCGCCAGGATATTTCTCCCCCTCCAGTTCAGGTGCAACTCGAGCCTCTTGGATAGGTCACCTCTGCTTCAGAAGATCCAATTAATTTAAAAATCTGAATCCCTGCCTCCGCACCAGTTCCTCAGCCAGGCATTCATCTGCCCCATCCTCTTATTCCTACTCTCACTAGCAAATGGCACCGTAAGTAACCTTAAAGTGCTGCTTTTTAACCTCCTAACTCCCTATATTCGCTCTGCAGGACGTCATCTCTTTTTTTTCTACCTAGTGCAGGGAAATAAGAGAATAGGAAAAGCAAAACATTATTTAAAGAGAGAGACTACAGAATGCAGTGGCACCCTGGGATCTAGATATTCTCACACATGAATCACAGAGTTAGAATGCAAGCACAGCAAATTAACTGGGAAGGCAAATGGAATGCTAATCTTTATTTAAAAGAAGTTGCAGCACTCAAATAGGGAACTTCAGCTGTGGCTGTAAAGGGTGTCGGTGAAACCAGACCTAGAGTACTCTCTGTGCAGTTTTGTTCTCCTTAGTCAAGGTTATACTAACATTTGAGTCAGTTCTCACATGATTCATTCAGCTGATTCTTGGGATTAAAGTATTGTTTTAAATAAAGATTGAGTAGGTTGGGGCTATGTTCATTTGAGTTAGAAAAATGAGAGGTGATCCGATTGTAACATATTAGATTCTGGGGCTTGATGGGATAGATAGGCACATAGAAAATAGATGCAGGAGTAGGCCATTCGGCCCTTCAGGCCTGCACAACCATTCAATATGATCATGGCTAATCATGCCATTTCAGTATCCCACTCCCACTTACTCTCCATACCCCTTGATCCCTTTAGCCACAAGGGCCATGTCCAGCTCCCTGTTGAATATATCTAATGAACCGGCCCCAACAGCTTTCTGTGATAGAGAATTCTACAGGTTCACAATTCTCTGAGTGAAGAAATTCGTCCTCATCTCAGTCCTGAATGGCTTGCTCCTTATTCTTAGACTGTGGCCCCTAGTTCTGGACATTCCCAATATTGAGAACATTTTTCCCACATCTAGCCTGTCCAGGCCCATCAGGATTTTATAAGTTTCAATGAGATACCACCCACATCTTGTTCTTCTAAATTCCAGTGAGGACAAACCCAGTCGATCCAGTCTTTCTATACATCAATCCTGCCATCCCTGGAATCAGAGATAGTAGGAACTGCAGATGCTGGAGAATCCGAGACAACAAGGTGCAGGGCTGGATGAACACAGCAGGCCAAGCAGCATCATAGCTATGATGCTGCTTGGCCTGCTGTGTTCATCCAGCCCTGCACCTTGTCATCCCTGGAATCAGTCTGGTGAACCTTCGCTGATCTCCCTCAATAGGTGAATGTCCTTCCTCAGACTAGGAGACCAAAACTGCACAGAATTCTCAAGGTGTAACCTCACCAAGGCCCTGTACAACTGCAGCAAGACATCCTTACTCCTATACTCAAATTGAGGGGATGCTTCGCTTCCTGGGGGCATCAAGTACTTGGGGCACAGTTTCAGAATAACGCCACACAGGGATGAAGAAGAATTTCTTTCCTTAGGATCATGAATATTTTGCGGTCTCTATTTCAGGAATCTGCCGATGCTGAATTATTGAATATATTTAAGGCTGAGACAGAAAGATTCTTGACACAGAGTCATAGAGATGCATAGCACAGAAACAATCCCTTTGGTCCAACTTGTCTGCGCCAACCAGATATCCTAACTTAATCTAGTCCCATTTGCCACCACTTGGCCCACATCCCCCTAAACCCTTCCTATTCATGTACCCATGCCTTTTAAATGTTGTCATTGTACCAGACTCCACCACCTTTTCTGGCAGCTCCTTCCATACACACACCACCCTCTGCGTGAAAAAGCTGCCTCTTAGGTCCCTTTTAAATCTTTCCCCCTCACCTTAAACCAATGCCTTCTAGTTCTGGACTCCTCTTCCCTGGGAAAAATGCCTCGCTATCCATGCCCCTCATGATTTTATAAACCTCTATAAAGGTCACCCCTCAGCCTCCAATGTTCCAGGGGAAATAGCCTCAGTCTCTTCAACCTTTCCCAATAGCTCAAACCCTCCAACCTCAGCAACATCCTTGTAAATCTTTTCTGAACCCTTTCAAGTTTAGCAACATCTTTCCTACTGCAGGGAGACCAGAATTGAACACAATTTTCTAAAAGTGGCCTCACCAACATCCTGTATAGCTGCAACATGACATCCCAACTCCCATACTCAATGCAAGTGTACCAAATGCCTTAATCACCACCCTGTCTACCTCCGACTCCACTTTCAAGGAACTGTGCACCTGCACCCCTAAGTCTCTTTGTTCAGCAACACTCCCCAGGGCCCTACTATTAACTCTATAAGTCCTGTTTTGGTTTGCCTTACCACAATGCAACACCACACATTTATCTAAATTAAACTGCATCTGCCACTCAAAGGGCTAGAGGGACAGCGGAGTGGAAGCCAAGATTAGATCTGACAAAACACTTATGAAAGACCAGCAGATTCGAGGGCCCGAAAGGCCTCTTTTTGCTCTGGCTTGCGATTGGAGAAGAGGGCCGGGGGTCTCGCTGGATCGGAGGGGTAGCTGAAGCCGAAAGGCCTCTTCGTGACAACAAGGTGCAGGGCTGGATGAACACAGCAGGCCAAGCAGCATCATAGGAGCAGAGTTGTTTTGAGATTCTAAGAACATTCTTTTTGGGGTAAAACGATGCAGCGGTCCCCAGCTGCATTGTTTGTCATTGACTGAGTCTGGATGGGTTTGGTTTTACGGCACAGCGCGCTAAGGCGGGCACTTGGTGACATTCTATTGGAATGAAAGAAGCTTTTGGAGACTAAGTTACTGCCCTGGTTATGCTGTACAGAAAGACTTTGTTTTGAAACGCGAGTCGTTTCCTGCTGTAACTCACTCTGCGTAGCCTGTGTTGCAAGGCAATTTCTTGTTCTTGGGAGGAAGCAGGACCGGCCTGAGTCTCTGGTCCCCGTACTGGCTCATCTCTGCTGGACTCTGGTGGAGAAAGTGTGGCCGACAGTATATCCGAGCAGTCAGCTCCGGGCAGGCTGTAACACGGGGCTGGCGGCTCCGTCTCACGGGCGAGCTCCGTCTCTTAAACTTCTTAAACATCTCTGTTCCTCGGCTTCCAAACAGCGGGACGAGAAGTCTGAATGTAATATCTTGTCTCTTACTCTGCAACCCCCAGTCTTTTCCGTTCCCTTTCCGCCAATCCGTCCGAATAAACTAACACGGTTCTAATAAACTTCTTCCCCAGCAACGACTCCACGTATGGGGAGGAAGACAGGAGCAACGAACAAGAGCAGTTCCTGCCCGCTGTTAATAGTACTGGCTGTTCTCCTGGAGCATTGAGCAATTCTTGATTAGTGTGAACACCCAATTGCAGAGCTCACTCCAACATGCATCCAATGCAGGGAATGACCCGAGCAGCCAGAGAGGCCAATCTGTTTGTGTGCCTATCTGCCAGGAGCTGGTGTGAAAGGATATGTACAGCATTCAGGGTGGGAAACAAAGAGTAGAAATGAAAACATGAATTACATAAATTGAGCTGTGAGGACGATGCAGAGATGTTTTCACTGTGAATTGAACAAGGTGAGCTACTCAGCAGGTCTGGCAGTGTTCTGTAGAAATGTTAACTCTGTTTTTTCCTGTCCAGATGCTGCTAGACCTGCCGAGTTATAGAATCCCTACAGTGTGGAAGCAGGCCATTCAGCCCACACCAACCCTCTGAACAGCATCTGACCCAGACCTATCTCCCCCTACCCTTTCCCTGCATTTCCCATGGCCAATTCATCTAACATGCACATTTTTAAAATAGAATTATACAATCCCTACAGTATGGAAGCAGGTCATTTAGCCCATCAAGTCCACCGCACCCCTTCTTTAGACTGTGGGAGGAAATCAACACAGACACGGGGAGAATGAGCAAACTCTACACAGACGTTTGTCAGGCCCTTCAGCATAAATGGGTCCATGCCAACCAAAGTATCCATCCACACTAACCCCATTTCCCTGCACTTGGCCCATATCCTTCTAAACCTTTTCTATTCATGTATTCATCCAAATGCCTTTTAAATGTTGTTAATGTACCTGCCACAACCACTTCCGCTGGCAGCTCATTCCATATGCATCCCACCCTCTGTGTAAAAAAGTTGCCCCTCAGGTTCCCATGTACTCTTTCCCCTCTTAAACTAATGCCTAATAGTCCTTGATTCCCCAACCCTGGGAAAAAGACTGAGTGTATTCACTATCTCATGATCTTATACACTTCTATAAGATACCACCCTTAGTGCTAGCCACTGAGCCACTGCGCCATCCAGCATGAGTCGCTCCAGCACTTTCTGATCTTGTTTCAAATTTCTAATGTCCACAGTTCTTTGTTTTATTAATAAGTAGGAATAAATGGGTCTTCTTCTAACTGTAGGTTGTCAAACAGGAAGCTGGAAGAACACAGCAGGCCAGGAAAGGAGCAGTCAATGTTTCAGATATTACCCTTCTTCAGGACTTGTCTACCTTCTTCTGACTAGTGGGTACCACAGTGATCAGTGTTTGGACCCCAGGTATTTATCATGCAGTACTTATTAATGATTTAATAGGGAACTAAATGTAATATCTCCAAGTTTACAGATGACACAAAGCTGTGTGGGCGGGTGAGCTGTGAGGAGGATGTGGAGATGTTTCAGTGTGATTTGGACAAATTCAGTGAGTGGTCAAATGCATGAGATGTAATGGCTAAATATAAGACTATCTATTTTAGAAGCAAAAACAGGAAGGCAGCTTATCAGCTGAATGGTGATAGGTTGGGGAAGAGGGTCGCTACAGCAATACCAGGGTATCCTCCTACACTAGTTGCTGGAAAGAAGCATGCAGGTGCAACAGGCGATAAAGGAGATTAATGGTTTCTCTCTCCACAGATGCTGGCAGACCTGCTGAGTTTCTCCAGCACTTTCTGTTTCAGTAATATCACTAGTGGTATTATCACTGGACTGTTAATTCAGAGACCCAGACAATGTACTGGGGACACGAGTTCAAATCCCGCCACAGCAGATGATGGAATTTGAATTCAATAAATATCTGGAATTAAGAATCTAGTGATGACCATGAATCCATTGTTGATTGTTGTAAAAACCCATCTGGTTCACTAATACCCTTTAGGGAAGGAAACTGCCATCCTTACCTGGTCTGGCCTACATGTGACTCCAAATCCACAGCAATGTGGTTGACTCTTAACTGCCCTCTGGGCAATTAGGGATGGGCAATAAATGCTGGCCTAGCCAGTGATGCCCTTATCCTGTGAATGGATTTTTTAAAAAATCCAGGATCTTTGTTTTATTTTAAGGCATATGGTATGTTGGCCTCCATAGTGAGAGGGTTCAAGTACAGCAGCACATTTGTACAGGACCTTGCCACAATTGTACATGGTATTAGTGGGACTAAACCTGGCGTACTGTGTCCAGTGTTGGCCCCCTTATCTGAGGAAGGATGTTCTAGCTATGGAGAGAATACAACAAAGATTTAACAGACTGATGCCTGGGATGGCTAGACTGAAGAATGAAGATAGATTAGATCGGTTAGGACAATATTCACTGGAGTTTTAACAAATGAGGGGGATCTCATAGAAACCTATACTGTACAATTCTAACAGGACTAGACAGGGTAAACACAGAAAGAATGTTTCCAGTGACTGGACAGTCCAGAACCAGGGGCCACAGTCTAAGGATAAGGGGTAGACTGTTTAGGACTGAGATGAGGAGAAATTTCTTCACCGAGAAAGTGGTGAGCCTGTGGAGTTATCTGCCACAAAGAGTAGTTGAGGCCAACAACATTGAATGTTTTCGAGAAAGAGATAGAAATATTTCTTGGGGCTAAAGCAAGAACAGGATGCTGAGTAAGATGATCAGACATGATCTTACCGAATGTTGTCTGTGGAGATGGTGTCACGAGGTTGAAAGAACAAGACCCTAGTGACGCCATCTCCACAGACAATATGCTGAAGCTACTGGACCTATGCCTCACCACCCACTTCACCTTTAACGGCCAAATATATGAACAGAACAACGGGACACCCATGGGATCACCTATCTCTGGACTCATAGCTGAAGCGGTGATGCAGAGACTTGAAGTATGGCCCTTCTGCTAATCCAACCAAAACTACGGATACGCTATGTGGACAACACCTTCGTCATTATTAAACGGACCAAACTAGATGAGACAAATGAATTAATAAACAACACCCTCACTGGGATCAGATTCAGCAGAGAAGAGGAGAAGAACAAACAGCTCCCATTCCTGGATGTCATGGTGGAACACAGGACAAATGGGGAATTCCTATCAAAGGTACACAGGAAAGCCACACACACTGACTTAGTACTTAATTTCAACAGCAACCTCCCTAACACACCCAAACGAAGTCGCATGAGAACATTATTTAAACGGGCAACAACACACTGCAGCAACACAGACCTACGCCAAGAAGAAGAAGCGTACCTCTTCCAGGTATTCAAAGACAAAGATACCCGAAAAACTGGGTCAGAAGATGCCTATTACTTGAATGACAGCAGGAAGATACTACACGCCCCGACACACTCATCACGCTACCTTACATCAAAAACACATCTGAACTGACCACAAGACTCCTACAACCACTGGGCATCAGAGTAGCACACAAACCCACACATCAACCCTACGACAACTGCTCACCTGAACCAAAGACCCACTACCCACTAGGGACAGGACCAATGTCATATACAAGATTCCCTGCAGAGACTGCAACAAACACTACATTGGACAAACAGGAAGGAAATTAACCACAAGTGTACATGAACATCAACTGGCAACAAAAAGACACGACCAATACTCACTCATCTCCATCCACGTGGATAAGGAAAACCACCAATTCGATTGGGACAACACCAGGATCCTGGGACAGGCGAGCAGAGACAAGCACGGGAATTCCTAGAAGCCCACTAAGAAAGCCGTCAATAAACACATAGAGCTAGACCCCAAATACACTCCATTGTGAAGGAAAACCGGAAGTGAGGTAATCCAGCTCGACGCACACCAGAGTTTAAATAACAGGTGGGAAAACACAACAGCGCTTCATCGGAGGCTGCACTGATGATGTTACTCAGCAGAGTAATGGAACGTCTGCAGCACAACGAACCAACCCACCGCAACATCCACAACCCGAGCTACTCTAAAACCTTACAGCCATCAGAACATGAACATTACTGCACACAGAACTCCCAATTGTATCCTAACTAGAGGTTTACACAGTTTCAGCTTGATCCTATCTCTTATGTTCTGTGCCTTGATTAATAAAGGCCTATGTCCCAACTAGCTTCTTGACCACATTATCCACCCATCCAGTTATAGACACGCACTCCAAGGTTCTGCCATACATCTACAGTTCTGCACCATATTTTTTGATTCCTGTTAACATCAGATGTGGTCATCATTGACTGGGCCAGCATATATTGACCTTGAACTGAATGGCTTACTGGGCTAATTCAAAAGGCAGTTCAGAGTCAATCATGTTACTGTGGATTTGGAGTCACATGTAGCCAGACCAGGTAGGATGGTGTATTTCCTTCCTTAAAAGGCATTTGTGAACCAGTGGTTATACAATCACCATTAGACCAGATTTATTAATTGAATTCAAATTTCACCATCTGGCTTGGTGGGATTTGAACCCATGGCCCAGAACATTAGCCTGTGCGTCTGAGCTTACAAGCTTAGTGACTTTACCATTTACGCCACTGCATCCTGGAAGAAAATAAATGTTCAAAACTAATCCAGTTCCAGTTAATTGCTCCTGAGTGGTTGCTGATTTGAATTAACCTGTTACAGTTTTAAAGATGACCAGATAGATGACAATTAAAATTCACTGTGCAACATGTGTCAAAGATAGCTAAACCATCAAGCAAAACAAAAGGCAGAAGTACAAAAATATCCCAGTGTTACTTGTGATATTTATTTAACTAGATAGCTTTCAAATCTGGCCCATTATTATGGATGATGGCACACATTCTCTGAGGAGGTCAAAGTCTTTGTATTGGTCTGCCCTTCATAAGGGAGCAGGTTGTAGTGGAGGATTTTCATCTGAAAATGTAATACTGAAGGGAAACCTGCCCAGTAAGACTCTTTCATTAGCTACAACATCTTGTATTTATATAGAGCTTTAACTTTGTGACACACCTCAAAATGCTTTAAAAAATGGTAATCTAACACATAAAGAAATATTAGGTCACATGCCTAAAAGCTTGATCAAAGAGTTAGCTTTAAAGATTGTTATCAAAGAAGAAAATGAGCTAGGTACATAATTAGGTGTAAGGAGTCTATTCCAAAGCTTAAGGCCTAGGCAACTGAAGACATGGCCATCAATGGTT